TATAAATCAATCATTGACTATGCCTCCATTATAATATTCTAAGTGCAGAGTAAGAATATTTATTCACAATCGTAAGTTTTGAGACTGACGGAGTGTAAATCTTATAACTAGGAAGGGCAACGGGCAAGTACCAATATATTAATTCTTATACGTGGTAAGAAAATTTATTTCATTCTCGCCCTTATACTTGATTGGTATTACTATTAATCCCAATTTTTGTCTTGTCGGATAATGGCATATCCATTCTCTTATTTATATACCCATTTAAATATAATTCATGTTAAATATAATATATTTATAATATATTAAGTATTTATTTTAATATATCTATTAAATATATAAATTTATATATTTATATTGCATTAAGTACGGAACGAGATAGATACTATGATCCCATCTCCATTCTTATACTTGAAAAATTTCCCAAACCTGTCCCCATTCCCATTTTGCAGTATCCTTACTCAACTTCGATCAAATAAAATTTGCAAGTACCTGTCAAGGGAATAAAATTGTCATCTTTACATCCAATCCAAAAATCATGGACAAAATCTTGTTTGCCATAAATTTCTGAAATATAAATTCAATATTGTGAATGAGATTGGAATCAATCCTTGTATTTCTAGGATAAGGAAAAGTGTGCTTACATCACACCAATATGAACGCAAATATAAAAGCTCTTGTTAATTCCCGTCCTTCAATTCCTCTACTCTTTGGGTTTTCAACCAATTAATTTAACCCTTCAAATTATTTATATGGGCAAATTTATGTTATATTAGTAAAAATTTTATTTACTAAAATATATTTTTGAAATTTATTTACCAAAATGTATTAAATACTAGTTGTGTTAAGAAATCGGATCATGAGGATCCGAATTCTGAGGAAAAATCGACTCTTGAGGACTCAATTTCAACAAGGAAATTGGTCCCTGAGAACTGATTTTGATTAGTCTTGGAAACTCAATCTCACTAGGAAAATCTATTTTTCAAGAACTAATTTTAGAGAGCTGGGTTGGCATTTGTAAAAGCTCCATCCAAGACAAAGCTCTGAAAATCTCGTCATCCCACAAGAGTTGTACAATAGAGCTCTTTTAATTTTAAAAGAACTAAATATCTAACTAATCATTTCTTCACAAAGAAGAAGCCTACATAAAATTTGCTTAAAATCTTACAACTATTAATAACTAGGTCAATCTATGATTTAAGAATTTATTTGGTTGTTTATTTATTTTTGAAAAGGATAGTGGAGGGGGACAATAAATTCTTCCAAAACTTTAAAAACAAAAATAGGCCACTAGGGTATAACGAATGCCGACAAAAGCACTTAAAAATTTTTCAAAAATCATAAAATTTCTATTCTAGGCTTATGACCCAACAATAAGGCGGTCGTTCGTCTGAAAAGTCAGCCAGCATTCGAGAGGCTTATGATCTGCCATAAACGGCTGCAACCTAGAAATTTGGATTACGATGCTCTCTTTCTAAATATTTTTATAAATTTACAACTTTTACCAAGGCCAAACCAAAACTTCCCAAAGGGTTTACTACTTGTTACCACCAACAAAACTTTTCTAATCCGTATGTACAAAGATGAGGGGCTGTCAAACAAAAACTACAAAGATGAGGGGCTATAAAATAATATATAAATGATCTTTAGATCCTTACCATTGCGTATATGCCTAAGAATCCTGTTACTGTTGGCATTTAAAGGATTATCCGCAGTACAGAACATAGACAAATTAAACTTAAACAGGATAATTAAACATCAGCAATTTCTGCAGACCTCAATTATACAAAGTTTCTAAAACCCATTTACAGTAGAGCTATCCCAAGGGAATACTAAATCATGTGCATGTACAACCTTTATTCAACGCGCCATTTCAATGCTTGTATAGGTTATTTAAGGCTCACGAGAACTAGTTGATGCACTCGGCTGATGGTACGCCGGCACAGGCATCTTTGTGGGAAGACTCGGCATCGCCGCCTCAAAATTGAGTACATGCATTGCTTGCCTTATCGATGGCCTCAAGCTCCGGTCTGGGTGAGCAAGCCACAGCCCGACAATCATGAAGCACTCCACTTGTTTAGCATCAAAGTTCTTGTGGAGCCTCTCATCCACACACGACTGTAGCTGTTCTTTTCCATACAAATCCCATACCCACTCCACCAACCCAATTTGAGAATCCCCTTCCAGTGGATCCAATGATTTTCGCCCTGTAGCAATCTCTAGCGCCACCACCCCGAAGCTATAAACGTCAGACTCTTTACTTGTCCTGCCTGTGCGAATATATTCCGGCGCCATGTACCCAAAAGTCCCAGCTAGGCCAGTTGTTTGAGGACCTACTTCGTGGTCCATGAACCGAGCTAACCCGAAGTCTTCAAGCTTGACGTTGAAGCTCGAATCTAGCATTACGTTGCTGGACTTAATGTCCCGGTGTACCACACATTGCTCCCACTCTTCGTGGAGATAGAGCAAAGCAGAGGCTAAACCAAGAGCTATCTTGTACCTCACAATCCAAGTGAGAGGACTCCTACTCTTACTGAAGAGTTGGTTATCGAGGCTTCCGTTTGGCATGAACTCATAGACTAGAAGAAACTCCCGCGCTCGTGGCACCAACCCACGAGCTGCACCAAATTTCGGTGCCTTAATCAGCTGATAATCTTCACCTCTATTATATATGTACTCCTTTCTCCCTTGCTTAGACCTTCTCGAGATTTCCTTCACTGCACGGCCATGTCCAAATCATTGAGGTAGCCCTTGTAAACTTCTCCAAATCCTCCCTGACCCAGCTTTCTTTCGCTCGAGAAATTGCTAGTCGTGGAAGATAGATCTTTGTAATAATACTTCTGGGTCCCGTGGCTCTCTCGAGATCGTAATTGATCGATGTCAAATTATCTCTCTGTGTTGTTGCTTCTTTATTATTATGCTTCCTCTTCGACGAAACTATAGATGCTATGATTGCCACCAAAACCAAAATACCAACTGGAACAGTAACACCTGTGGGGTCCATCCCCATGTAAAAGAAGTGTGAAAAGTCCCATGAATGGCTATGTGTCGGCCATATGAAAAGGCAAAACCTTTGCTGCATGTTGCAGCAATGTTTGAAGACGCCAACTCATTTGTTCTTTGGTTGGCAGCAGCAAATATGGAAGTCTTCTCTGGCTGCTTGATTGGCAGCTTGAGTTGAAAATAAAGAGCAGTATGGCGGACGGCACAAGGCACACTTCTCCCATAAATAAAGGAGATGCAACACTTCTCAGGACGCACCAAGCCAAGATGTGAGCTAGAGAGAGAGAGTCTCTCAAAGCTTGAGAGAGATGGAGAAAAATCCTCTTGTGTGGAGAGTGAGTTTACTGTAGTGAGGGTGATACAAAAGTGAGAATTCTTTTGTAAGTGGTATCTCGGGTTGGTAAAAATACCCGAGAGTCCTGTGTAAAATTCCTTCCTATAGTAGTGATATTTTTTCTCCTTTTGGTCCGTGATTTTTCTCGATTTGGGTTTTTCACGTAAATCTTGGTGTCTATAATTTACCCTTCCTAAATTTACTATGTGTGTATTTTTATTCTGTGAGTGTACTGGCCCCAACAAGTGGCATCAAAGCATACGCGGGTCCCAACAAGTGGTATTAGAGCACTATGGATCCTAACAAGTAGTATCAAAGCCAAGGTTAGTACTATTCACACGTACGTGATACTATTCATACATACGATACTATTGTTCATACGTACGAGGTACTATTCATACATACGATGGTACTATTCATACGTACATAATACCATTCATACATACGGTGGTACTGTTCATACGTACGTGGTACTGTTCGTACGTACGGTACTGTTCACATATACGGTACTGTATACGGGGGCACTATTTACAGTAAATTTGTGAAAATGACGGGAGTAAAATATGTTATGGAAAAATTCAACGTTGAAAATGGATTTTCCACATGGTTAAGAAGGAAAGGACAACATTGTCAATACAGCTGGTTCCTTCTTGTGTCTGGGAGACTTTGAAGTCTACATTGTCTCGATGGCGGTCCATGGCTAGCTGCCCAAATAGAGGGCAGGACAGCGAAGACCCTTTGGACTCAGTCGGCAAAACTTTGGTTGAGTTGTTGCGACTAGTGCATATATGGCAGGAGGATTACTCTTATTGCTAGATGGCATCGCCTGGATGAGTCAAGCGCACGAGGACAACCCGCTTGGACCCATGGAGCGTGGACATGCAAAGAAGGGAAGGATAAGGGAAATTCAACTTCCCTTGGGACTTCCATGAGTGGGGAAGTTTGAGAAGAGGTGGCTGACTAGATGACCCATGAGTTGGGTGGCCACTAGGATAAAAGGACCAAGGGTTCTGGTCTTGTTTTAAAAGTAAGCAGACCGTTGTTTGAGTTAGGACAATTGCTTGGTAAAGAAGAGCTTGATCGGGCTGGGGGAGACCAGCAAAGGGCGCAGGAGTCCTTGAAGCTTGCAGAGCTGAAAGAGGGGGAGCAAACCCTCTAACCCTGTGCATTGAGTTCGTAGGGGAGGAGGTCAAGTGTTTAGCCAAACCAGAGGAGTCAGCTAGGTGGCAGATCAGAGAAAGACTTCGTGGGAGACGAAGTTAAGAGGCCAGGTGGCCGAGGCCCTAACTCTTTCACTAGAATGAGGAGCTGCGACAAAGGCCAGTTAGCAACAGGCAAAAGGGCTTTGAATGCACAATAGAGCTGTTCGGGCAGAAGACTTGGTTTTTAAGGAGAGACAAGTAGAAGTGATTTTGTTGCTGCTTAGGCCAAGGAGTTGGCCTTGACTTCAAAAAAAAGCCGGCAAGAGGAAGTAAGGATGTCATCAGTAGGGGGAGCCTAGAGTTAGGCAAACCCACGGACCAGGCACAGGTTTTGCTGGGGAGTCACCAGTCGAGAGCAAGGCTGGGGATTGAATTACGTATAAGGGTGAGAGACCCTTGGAAGCTCGTGAGAAGCATTAGGCCAAAGGTAATGTGCTAAAGCCTGAGAAGGAATCTGGAGTGGCAAATAATCTCCAGACTAGTGTGCCAACATTGGTCAGGATGTATTGGCCAAGGGAGATGTTAGGCACATGGTGACTAAGACCAGGGATGTTGGTTCTAGGATGGGCATGGCCCATAAGGTTGAGGAGTAGAGGAGCAACTGTAGGGGGAGCAACCCACCTTAACAAATGAGAACAATTTCTTGCATAAAAGCATGGGTCTAGAGGGGGAGATTTGTGGGGTCCATCCCCATGTAAAAGAAGTGTGAAAAGTCCCATGAATGGCTCTATGTCAGCCATATGAAAAGGCAAAACCTTTGCAGCATGCTACAACAATGTTTGAAGACGCCAACCCATTTGTTCTTCTTTGGTTGGTAGCAGCAAATATGGAAATCTTCTCTAGCTGCTTGATTGGCAGCTTGAGTTGAAAATAAAGAGCAGTATGGCGGACGGCACAAGGCACACTTTTACTATAAATAGAGGAGATGCAACACTCCTCAGGATGCACCAAGCCAAGATGTAAGCTAGAGAGAGAGAGTCTCTCAGAGCTTGAGAGAGAGGGAGAAAAATTCTGTTGTGTGGAGAGTGAGTTCACTGTAATGAAGGTGATACAAAAGTGAGAATTCTTTTGTAAGTGGTATCTCGGGTTGGTAAAAATACTCGAGAGTCTTGTGTAAAATTCCTTCCTACAGTAGTGATATTTTTCTCCTCTTGGTTCGTAGTTTTTTCCGATTTGGGTTTTTCACGTAAATCTTGGTGTCTATATTTTACCCCTTCCTAAATTTACTATGTGTGTATTTTTATTCTGTGGGTGTGTTGGTCCCAACAAGTGGCATCAAAGCATACACGGGCCCCAACAAGTGGTATCAGAGCACCATGGATCCTAACAACACCCTATATTACTTTGTTTTTTTAAGTGATATTCCCACTTGCCTCTAGTGTATCTGGTGTTGAATTGAACTCCCATGACTTAAGCCTATGTCGCTCTCTATACTCAGCCGTAGTTGCTGAAAATCCAACCTTCACCCACTCGGATACAACCTCCCTGAGGTCAATTCGGTAACAAAGACTAGAATTTACGGGAGGTGTTGGAGTTGCATCATAGGACCAAAAGACGCTAAGATTTTGAGTGCTTGCGTTGTAGGTGATCCAAACGTTGGTTGTGTCCCTGCTGTGAAGGCTAGCGTTCCAAGGAGTGGTAACAATAGAAGATATCGAATTGTTGTTGATCCCAACATGTTCATACAAAGGATCCCATCCAGTATTCACAAAAGAATCAAACTCAACCGTAACTATCTGGTTCTTGGGTGATTCGCTAGTGGTGGTGTTGAACAAGCCCAGGAAGCCACCGCTTGAGTTGCGTGGGATGTCGAAATCAAGAGGCGCGAGGAAGAAGACGAGTCCATGGCCGTAATTTTTACTACCTTGTGTGTCAATTATGAATGAGTAATGGGTGGTGAAGTCGGTGAGCTTTTTGGTTCCTGAGTCCCAGATGCGGACCCTCTGAGCATAGACGGCCCAGCCTACCCAGTTTATGTAATTGACTTTGTTGAACTCAATCTCTCCAACAGAAGGTACTACATCCCCTTCACAAACTATGTCAGTTGCAATAGGATCAAAGCAATTTAGCTGGAAATGAATTGAATTGACTGAAGGATGAAGGAAGAAGAAGACAGAGAAGAAGAGTGCAAGATGGGCATGGAGACACATGAACAAGGTTGCAAGGGGGTAGGCAAAGGCCGCCATGGCTGGGATTGGAAAAAGGTGATAAGCAACTATATGAGCTTTTATATTTATATTTATTTTAATAATTAATTATTTTTATTTTTTAAATATAATTTTAATTAGTAGGCGGAAAATTATGTTATATTGAATAAATAAACTTGTTGTATAATATATAATTACTATAATTACTTAATAAATAATAAATTTATTGAGTTAAATAAGTTAAAAATTAGATGTTCGATTTTTAGGAAAACCTGTCAAAATTTCTATAAAATTTAAAATTTTAATTCATTTTATTATATAAATTACAAACTGTGATTTGAAACTGAATTAAACTGTGAATCGTGATTTAGTTTGATTTTTAAAAATCACAAATCATAAAGTATAGTTTAGTTTAAATTTGAATATCAAATCGAACCAAATCGAACCATGAATACCCCTATTAGAATCTATGTCAAACAAAAGAAAAATATATATATAATTGGGAAAAATTACATTTGCCTCCTATTCTGATTTTTAATAGCTACAATTGTAACATAAGCTTGGAAGATATTTCTCAAAGGAACTTGCTCATTACAAGAAAAATAGTAATTTTTGACACAAAATTATCAACGCAAAAATTTGGATTGGCTTATCGACCAAATTTCTGACACACATTTGTAGGAAATATATAGTACAAACAAAATGGGGAAATCTGGTGCAAAAAATATTACCATCCAAACTATGGACTCAAATTTTCATTGGAAAAAATTACCAATGCACTAAATCGTAAGTTAAATAATAGAAAAATAAAAATACTGAATTTAAAATTTAATGACACATCATTGTGCAGTAAATGGAAAAAAAACAATTGTTTTTTTACCGGTGCAGAAAAGCATTAATAAATAAATTAAAAATAAAAAAATTATTTTGAATATTACCAAAGCAAGCTATGCGTCCATAACATTAGATTATCGACGATGAGCCGGCCGTGGATTTACAAAGCTCGGGTCATTCATTTATTGTTTCAGAATTTACCTCCCTTTCAACAAAAGTCTTCTGGGTATCAAACAAGGTGGGTAGGTTTATCGTGAGCATCAAGGATTAGACTAGTTTCTTCTGTATAAAAAGAAAAATTATGAACTTACAAAGTTAAAAAGAAGAAATATATTATCAAATAATAAAAGTACACTATATATATAAAGATAAAATTTTTATTTAGTATATATATAAACTATACAATTCGGTTTAATTTATATGATTTATTTATGTCATATATTAAATCAAATCACATAAAAAAAAATCTCCTTCCAAATCAAAACCAAATTACAGTTTTGTCGATATAAACAGTTTTGTTAGATTGTTGAATTCCCCTAGATTCCAACACAAAATAGCCAATTAACAATAGCGAATAGCCAGTCAAATAGGTCCTTCATGTTTTTCACACATACAACCTTTAGTTTTGCCAAACATAGCCTTTATTCTTTTATTGTTAAAAATTGATTCCAATCCAACAACAAAAATAAAAAAAAAAGAAAAAGTATATAAATCTAGATCAATCTTTCTCACTTATGTATTAAATATCCAAAATTTTCACAAATATGAAAACTGATCAATTGGGCTTGAAATTCTCTCATTGGTGCTTGAGCTTGACTAACAACCATTCAACGTGTGAAATGAGAGAGGTTGGACAGGTGAGTGGTGTCAACAACAGTAGTGCCGGAGAAAAGAAACGTGCACTACAAGAAATAGTGCGATTACTGATGCATAAAAAGCATCGGTAAAGGCTAAAAAATTGTGAGAAAACAAATTTTTGATGCCATGAATGACTCAAAAATTGTGTAAGAATTTTGCTGCGCAAAATTGAAAGCGTTGGTAATTTTTCGACGCCAATTGCATCAAAAAATACAAATTGTCGATAAAAAAAATTGTCCAAAGAGGAAGCTTTCCAACACAATTTCCAATGGCAAAAAGTGTCAAAAATATTTTCATCCATGAATTTTCCAACGCATAGTTTTGTTAGTTAGCGATAAAATTTTCGGTGCAAATTGCATTGGAAATTTTTCGTTGCTTGAACTTACCAACACAGCATTTGCATTAGTAAACATATTAATTTAATAAATAAATAATTTATTATTTATTTAAATTATTTATTAAATAATATTTTTTAAATTATTTTTAATATTAATGCTTTAGCGACTAAGTTTCAAACACAATTTGTGTCAGAAACCTTTTATCACTAAAAGCCTATTGACGTAATTTCCACGTTGGTAAGCATATTAATTTAATAAATAAATAATTAATAATTTATTTATTTTAATAATTAAATAAATAATTATTTAAAATTATAAAATAATTAATGTATGGAATCCTTAACGATGCTATTTTGTGCTTTAGTAAATATATTATATTAATAATCTAATAATTCATTATATATTTTAAAATTTAAATTAATTAAGTCGATTATGATTTTTTCTATTTTTTTATTTTTTTGTATTTTTGTATTTTTTATGACAATTAATGTAGTTTAATATTTTAACTTTAATTTTTTTCTAGTAATTATATTTTAATTTCAAATTTTACTTTATAACCATTTTATTTTTTTAATATATATATATTTGATTTTGTTTCATAACATACACAGAGAAAAAAGGAGGAAATATAAAAATCACCTATTAAAATTTACTTATAACAACATTTAAATATCCAAATAAAAGTAGAAACCAATGTTAGTAAATTAAAAAAAAAAAAAAAAACCAGCACAACATATCACTCCTGACCATTAGACTCGCATGATTCAAATGATGAATCTAAATCATGTACAAGAGCGGGATGACACAACTCATTGGGTTGTGTGTTCTTCAACGCTGCAACCATCCTATACAAGCTTGAAAGGCAACTTCCATATTCCCCATTTTTTCCCAAAGTTTCTTATTTTCTTTACGAAGAGTCTACATCTTTGACATCATGAAAAATGAGTTTACGGAGTTCGATGGTGGATGGTGCACTGACTGGGAAAAACTTTGTCTCCCAAGGCCATAGATATGGCTAAAATCTCCCCCGCCTCCCTCGGACACTTCTTCTAGAGTTTGGAATCTATCATCCATTGAGACTTTGGAGTGGAGGACTTGTCAGGTGTAGACTGAGAAGACCAAGCAACTTGAAAATTGGCCTACATATACAAATAATTCGTAAATTAAGTTAGAAACGAAATTATTAATTAAAATAAATTAATAATAACATAAATATTTATAAGAATAAATAAATAAAAACTTGCAAAAGTTTTTTTCGATCGCTAGTCCACCCGCACCTCATTATTATCCTTCCCCTTGACATGTATATGCTTGAAAACTTTAAAAACAATGAAGAGTTTGACTAGTCTCTTTTCCTACAATAGAAAATTAAAAAAATTTTAATATTGGTTAATATCAAATAATAATAACTTTTTTAAAACTATTAAAACTTACTATCCTCCTAGCATGCTCATGTGGAGGAACAGAGTCTCCTATGTAGAAGGAATTGCATTTTTTTTGAATGACGATTCATTTTATTCTAAGAACTTAATTTATTGAACTTCTCTCATTTCTAATAAGCTTGAATCCCATCTTGCAAAGAGGGTGGAATCTAGTCAAGTTTGCCTCTAGCCTTGGCATCCCTAACAATGTCTGATATGAAATCTGCAAAAATTAAAATTCTTCCTAATGGAAGATTTGTCTCATAGATCTCGTGTACAATACTTCTACATAGAGACAAAACGAAACAATTAATCAAAAATTTAAAATATAATATTTGAAGATAATTATGTTAAAATATGTACCCTAAATTCATTGAACCATAAATCTTGTAGGACTATCCTCCAACTACGATAACATGCTATAATTTTACTTGAATGACTGATATGATAACATGAGCAGTAGGCTTTGAAGGAGCAAATCTGAAAAGAAAAGTACAACAAATATCAATTAATCAATTTAACAAAATAATTAATAAAACTTTTAAATACTTGATATTTTTTAATACTAATCCCACTAAGCCAATTGGCCAAATCAGCGTCTTCATGGAATTACTGGAAGAAGTACCAAATGATCTAGTCCAAGTTGGGTCAGATAAAAAGGAATCGGGTAAAGGGACAGAGGGAGTGGGGCTATTAGTAGAGGTAGTAGCACTATAGGCAGAGGCTGGGGAAATGGGTCCTTCAACGGTAGATGGGCTATGAATGTATTTAAAGGTAGGTATGAACTAAGGAGGTCGAGATATGTACTAGGAATATGAAGCCCTGAAGTCATAATATGCATGGGTAGGGTTAACGGACTCCCTAATAATCAATGGAGGCAAGGGTCAAGGGAGCGTGTATAGGATGATCTTGCCACCTTTTTTTTTTTTTTTTTTTTTTTTTGCGGCCGGCATCTATCCCTTTACCCTTATCGGGTCTATTTCAAAAATCTATTTATATTGATAAATAAATTTAACTTCTTTATTTAAATTATATAAGAGAATAATACAACTTGTTTTTTTAAAATAAATCCTACATTTATTGGGTTGCATAATTTTTTTAATAAATATCACAATTATTTCTTTTAGAAATCTTATTTGGAAATCATATTTCTCTTTCTTCTATAATAAGCTCTCCAATAGACCCATCCAAAAATGAAAAATACAAATTTAATTATTAGGCAATCAAAATAAAAGATATTAATTACTCAAAAACAAAAACAAATGCATATTTTAGTTACATAAGTCAATGTCTACAAAATATACAAAATAAAATACACAAAAATTTAATCTGAATCGCCCTGATCCTCCTCTTCCTCCTCCTCCTCCTCTTCATCCTCCTTGTCTTCCTCTTCATCTTTTTCAAAATCTCTCGATGGCTCGGTGTTATCATCATCTTCAACAAATTCTTTCTCCTCATCTTTTGTCAATTGTTCTTGACCCACCTATCT